AGTTTTGAATGTCAAAATCCACTAAATTAGTTATGAATACTTTATTGGGCATAGATTAATAAATCACAATGCTAAACTGGTTAAAGGTATTTCCTTCTACATTCATGGTCGTGGATTTGTATAAGAAACAAAATGTCTTATTTGTTAACTAGTTAGTCGGATTTCCATTTGGACCCTGCAAGTCTAAAACTTGATGGTCCAGCTCAGCCTAAACCCTTAGGTTCAGAGAAATGCGGATTTAGTTAAGTTTGGGCTTAGCAACTAAAAAATTTGAACTAGCAGGGAGGAATGCAACATGGGCCAAGGGTTTATTGTCCCCAAATTTCATTTCTCATTTGTGTCATATTTTTAATTTTTGACACGTATTATTCAATTTAATTCCAAACTAACACCATTAAATTTTTCATAAAATTAATTATATTACCAAAAATTAAATATTTACAAAAACCAACAATTAAATAAACTCCTGAGCACCACATAACCCCATCGCCGCCGCCATTGCTCCTCCTTACCACCGGCAAAGCTTCCTCTCTCTCTCTCTCTCTCTCTCTCTCTCTCTCTCTCTCTCTACATATCCCACACTAGATCATGATCGATCCAGCACATCGAAGAACGAATATTCTGTCAAAGTTTGGTATTGGGATGCAAGGAGGATATCTAATCGATGCTTCGCCGCAGGATATTTGCAGTGAGAAAACTACATTCGAATATCAAGGAGGACATCAACAGAGAAGAAGATAGAGATAAAAGAGAGAAAAGAGAGCTTCGTCGGAGGTGAGCATTGCAGCCGACTTGCACGGTGGGAAAATTTAGGGTTGGTTGTTAGGGGGGTAGGGTTGTTGGGGAGGTGGTTGTTGGCTTTTTTTGTTGTTAATTAAATTTTCGGTTTTTATTTTAGTAATTAATTATATGAAAATTTAACAATGTTAGATTTAAAAATAAGTTAAGGGACATGTGTCAAAAGTCTAGAAACAAACCACGAATGAGATATGAAATTTAGACGACCTGCAATAATAATATAATATTGAGATATATTAGTTCAAAATTCTACTCTAAAACCATCATTCATAAAATGCCATGCTAAAAAAATGTATCCACATCTAGTCTTGTTTGACATGACAAAAAATATTGCCACATGGAAAATATAGACAACTCAATTTTCTCAACAAAAGTTACAAAACTCACACCATCTCTCTTTACCAAATCCACAATTTCCCCACACATGATTCTCTCCTAGCAAACTAAAACTTGAAGTCACATCAAGTAGCCTAGTAGTAAGGGTACGGATTGATAAACAAAAAATGTGGGATGTTATGGGTTCGATGCTCTGAGCTGGTAAGTTTGCTTGACCGTGACCACGGGCAAAATGAAATCCCTCATAACCTCTTCAGACCCAGAAAGAGTGGATAATCTTCGGACACGAACTTCAATCCAACCACCGACTTCATCACGCCCTTTCCTCTCACGAAGTCCCTAATCCTCCTCTCGTACTTCCCTAGAAAAGGCCTTTTGCAAACGACCTTGACAGAGATGGGGAAAGAATCAAACCCGAGTATGAAAATGTGTGAATACAATAGATTAAGATTACTAATTTTGTAACAGGGATATTAACCTAATTTCTCAATAATAATTTTTTGGTCTGCCTTGGTTCGTTCATTCTTATCTAAAAGTTAGAATGCATTGGCCATAATGCATCTGATGACTAGCTACTTATATCATATTACCATGATTATTTGAAGGTCAATGGAAATTATGTTGTATGACAAAATATTCAAAGACAAAAAACAAGAATTAGAGAATAACATGCCACTCACACCCTTTCTCTTTTGCTTTTCTTCAAAAGCAAACACTGATTGCTCACTCCCCCACTTTGGGTGGTTTTCCACCCGCACTTCCTTGACTTTGCATCTTTCTGAGTTTCTAACCCATGCCACCATCTATTTATGTCTCATTTTGCTGGCATATTTTATCAAACATAATCATATGCGGTGAGTAATAGTATATGCTATATAGTTGGGGAGCATATAACAAGGATAATTCCACGATATCTCTAAATCACTTAGTGTATATCCCTGATTACTGATTAGTATAACTTGCTATAACTTAGTGGTAGTACTTGTACAAAAACAGAAATGAATCTAGTTGGGTAGCACTCCATGACTTGTCAAATTCGAAATCAAATCGTAATACGTCTTGGTGTAATTGTATTTCCTTATTCTTCTGAGGGTCTCAATTTTGGAAATGTTTGTTATTCTTTGTCCAAAATGTGTAGTCGTTAGTTTTTTGTGCAAATGAATAACATATGCTTATCACCGTAAAAGTCGTCAAACAAAAAACTGTTTGCTTAAATAATAATTTATATTGTCTCTATTTAACTATCTATTGTTAGGTGTATGATTTTATCACAAAAAGCCTTTATGATATTAGAAGTGGAACTCTCACGTATAAATTGCATATTATCTTTTGTCTTCTCCAATGTGGGACTTCATTCTTCTTCTTTTTTACAAACGATAGCATTAGTCGGTTATTGAGTTGTTAACGGGGAGGGAGATCGATAGGACCGCAATATGGTGCATAAATATGATTGCTTTCGACCACTACGGTAAAGCGCCATATACAATATGAGACTTTATTCTCTAGCAAAAACTAGCTCGTTCATATAAAATTCATGGTTTTGCCTTGAAAAAAATGGAAATGAATAATTTATCAAGTGCTTTCTAAATGAATAATTTATCCTTCAACATTGAAATAAATATTGAATATTATTTCAAGAGTGAGTATCTGATCCCACTCGTAGCTTATCAAACGATGATAATTTTCAGCAGCTTGTAACAAAAAGAGCTGTGAAAATAGAATCTAACTTTACTCATAACTTATTAATATGTAATCTCCATACTAATTGTAAGCCCAAATAAAGTAATGCTCAAGAGTGAGGATCTCACATGCCCACATGGGTGCAAAACCCAAAAATTCATTTACCATCAAAATCTCTTCAAACACCACCTGCTTGAATATAATTATTATTTCTCTTGTTGCAGCCATCAACATTAAGCTTAAACCAATATGTAAAAAAAAAAAAAAAAAAAAAAAAAAAGGAGAGCTTCTCAATGAAGCGAAGATTCAATCCTGGAAGGTTTGTTATTCTTGTGTACAAAAGTCAACTATTCATGAAGATAAGTACAAATAGGAATTGTAGGCTCATCAATCATTTCAAAATCCTGCCCAAAAACAAATTTAATTCACCAGTACTAAATAAATTAGCAAGCAACGGAAAATACAAACCTCCACTGTAAACCCCCTAAGATGAGTGATTTAATGGTGAATTAATTAAAAATGTAGCCAATCAAGAAAATTAATGTCTTACAGTGGATTATATATTCCGAACCTCTGCTAGATTTTCTCTTGCCTTATGGTGTTGAAAAACATGAGTTACTTATTCATAGCCACAAATACATCTTTGGCACCCGGACCGGTTATTGCTCATTCTATTTTTCAGATTTTCATCATTAGTTAGGAGCTTATCAAAAGTGTACATGGCCACAGGAAACTCTGAACACCATAAGAGGTATATAAAGTTTTCAAATGAGATTCCATCGCCAACAAGAAAGACCACTATAATTAATAACCAACAAGTAAGCATATATAAAAGTTACCGTCACTTGTTTCCCTTCATAGGTGAATCGGAACATTTATTTTCTAAGATGAACGCCATGAACGAGCAAAGGATAACAACTTGAAAATAGGATTGAAACATGTTTTCTTTTGCATATGAATACTACAACATAATATCACAAAATTTTATAACCTGCACTCATATTTGAAATTTTTTTTGCGGTCTCTTTTATTGAAAAACACTAAGTGTAGGTCTTTGGTGTTCAAAACACCATTTTTGCACAAAAAGTAAAACACCATCGAAAACATTTTGATAGAGTAATAGGTTTTCCTTGTTAAAAAAATAAAAATAAAATCCATATAATACCTCCTTGCCCCAAAAATATCTCTTATTAATTGTAGGGATACTTTCTGAGAATTTGTATTACACAAGAGAAAACAATAATAAAAAGTTGAGGGCCACATTTGTGCGCTATACAGCACACACACTCCACACTCAGCAACACATACATACCTCTAATTCTAAACCAAAGAAATGTCGGGACCTACTGGAATGGTATTTTGAGCCGAAAGGAGGGAAGGACCATTTTGTCATTCTGTAACCGATTTTATTCGACCCCTCTAAACTTTGTTGGAAGAACATGTCATATGAGGGAGAGGGTTGTGTTGTGTGTCTTGATTAAAATTCTTTTGCATTTTGAGTGCTAATACAATCGCGTGCTTCTCATAAGTGATTCCCTCCAACTGATCCAAGTCTTGGACAACTTGTGTGGTATTTCTTCTTCATCAACTTTAGTCGTTGTTGATTTCAAGATTTGGTTGCACTTTGCTGGTTCGTGTGCTTATTCTTCAAATTAATCCAAGAGACCATCTTTACAATTTTTACTTTCCTTCTCTAATAAAACTGCTAGCGTTTCATCTCAAAATTGTTTCCGACTTGGTAAATTTTTTATTTTTTTTTAAAACAAACAATATTATCTATACTAAGGGAGTGAGACTACTAAGCTTCTAAATGGGGCAATAATGTGGTCCAAATTCACTTGTAGTAGGAATCAAACCTAAGACCTCTAGTTAAGAGAAATACCACTAGACCGTAATACTAAATAGCCACTTGGTACAAACTTATGTAACATAATTTTGTGCCATGTTTGTCATAGTCAAACAATCCTAAGTCCCCTATTAATCAAAACGGCAACTAAACCACTTTGTGTGAAGGACTAGAAACCCAAAGTACCATAAGTTACAACACCCCACTTTCTTATCTGATTGTTTTGAAAAGATGACGATGTTTTTTTCATCAACTGATCATCAATGAAGGGTCAAGGAAGCCCACTTACGAAACCCTAGCTACACAACTAATGAAAGCCCACATTATTCTTTGGCTCTCTCTCTCTCTCTCTCTCTCTCTCTCTCTCTCTCTCGCTATATATCAAATTCATTCCCTGGTTGGTATGCGTTTTGCACTAGGACTGGTTTATCAAAGATGACCAACGTACCAAGGTCTCTGAGTTATTCTTCTCTAACCCTATTCAAGCAAGCCATCGCAGCCTCAGATCCTTGGCCGTTTTCCTTCCTTTTCTTGTAAGATTTAATCTAGGGGAGAAGATCAAAAGCCCTAGGGTTTGCCTTTGTCTTTGCCTTCATCTTCTCGCCTTTGTTTGTTGGTTTTTCTTTTAATATTTTTTCAGATATGGGTAGCGGAGAGAGAAGTCTGAGAAATTTCCATCTTCACCTGCCGCATCTTCACCACCACCACCACCATCACGGTGGGAAGAAACAAGTGATTAGAGATGTTCCAAAAGGGTGTTTGGCAATCAAGGTGGGCCAGGGCAAAGAGCAACAGAGGTTTGTAATTCCTGTGATCTACTTCAATCACCCACTCTTCATACAGCTCTTGAAGGAAGCCGAGGAAGAGTATGGGTTTGATCAGAAGGGCACTATCACCATCCCTTGCCATGTGGAGCAGTTTAGGTCCGTCCAAGGCATGATCGATAGGGAGAAGTCCCTCCACCACCATCACCAGCACCAGCACCAGCACCATGTCGGGTGCTTTAGGGTTTGATCATCAATCAAAGATTGTGGCTCGAATCCCAATTCTCTGTAAATTTCGAGTTTTTTTAGCTATTTTTGTTTGTTTCCTTTCTAGTTGGAAGGTGATGGCAAATACGATGTGGTGATGATGAAAAAGAACTGTGAATGTGGATTGCATTTGCAGTCATTTTGTTATTGTTAGGAATCTTAATGATGATAAAGATAAATTCAAAATGCTTCTCTTTTTCTTTTTCTTTCCTTTTTCTTCTATTTATTATTGATGAGTATTCGAAAGTTTTTGTGATAAGGAAGGAGGACATCATTGGTACAACATTGAGAGGGAGAGAAAAGACAAGGCCAAATGCTGGTAGGGTCAAGGCGCTTGCTAGGCCATTAAAATTGCTAGGTCAATGATATATTCTTGAGAGACAATATATTTGCATATAAATTATATCAACAATATTTTCTTCCAAAAAAGAATTTCTGTCAACGATCTTGTTCTTTTTTTTTTCTTTCCTTTTTCTCCAATTTCAACAATTACACCTCTTTCTTTAGTAATTTGACCATGATCAATTCAATTTCAACAATTACACCTCTTTCTTTAGTAATTTGACCATGATCAATTTGCTTGGTTGGTTGAAAAGATGTAAATTTTTTCATAACCTTTGAATTTTGAAATGGTTATCATAAATAATTAAACAATGGAAAAAATGCAGCAAAAGCAGAAATTTCTCAATTCCTTTCGTTTTATTTTTCGATACTTGGTAACAACATATTGATTCGAAAGTTATATAATTGATATTATTGATAATATTTTTTTTTTTAACGGAGATATTATTGATAATATTGAATAAACAGAATAATATCATTCACTTGAGATATTATTTGTGTGATTGCAAAGATGCCAACAGAAACTCTAGGGAACTGGAAACAGTAGTGATGGGCCATAAATTGAACATAGAGTGTGGACCATTCTATCTGGAGTCTGTGCTCCACACTGCTCATACATCACTGAATAGTGAATACTCTTTGGAATCGTTGTGTATATATCACTTCCCATTTTCTTTTTCTTCTATTTTTGTTTCCAAACTTCCACTTATTGTTTCTGGTATTGTTTCTTTGGACCGCGTTAAATTGGGTCGATCATGTAGGAAGACTACCTACAGAGAGAGAGAGTGAGAGAGAGAGTGAGTGAGCGAGTGTCCGGTGGGTGCATGACATCCACGTTTAAGTTGTTCAAGTTTTTCAGTTGGTGTGTCAAGGCTCTGCAGTCTGCATGGTAGACACTGTGTCATTCGACAGAGGAGCCAAACAGAAAGCAAGTTTGGACCTTTTTCAGATGGTATTAATTACCAGGTCTCGCTGCCATTTTTAATTAAGCACAATTTATAACAATCTTGGAAGTTCATGAGAGGCATAGAGTTAGCATGCAATCGAGGTTTCAAGCAGTACCAACTTAAATACGAGCACTTGAAAAAATGTCTCGCCTTTTGAGTTCGTGGAGGTGTTGGTTGTTAGGTTCTAAATTTTATTTTGGTTGTCGGGCTCCTACTTTTTCAATATTGGGTATGTTGAGTATCTAAATATATGCATGCTACAAATTGTTGCGAGGGTCTGCTGAGATTATAATTAGCATGTCTTTGGATATTTGTTACAGTTGAACCGATACTATCAACACCACATGCATGTTATTGATAAAGGTTCTCTCACCTCTTTCATCCAAAATACTACATGCGATGTGAAATACATAAAATCCCTTCTGTTTTTTTATGTAATTCTAAATTGGTTTCAATTTTTTTAAACATCCCAGATATATAAGTATCCAATTTATTTAAAACATCACATCCGTTAAGCCTCAATTAGATTTTTGTTAAATTAATTAGGATTTACTTTGTCTCCAAATGTCATGAAAGCATGGTCTCCACAACTAATGGCCACTATCACTCCCATCAAGTCATCGCCTCCAAATTCATGCACAACACCAACTCCACCTTACAACTCATGCCGCCAATATTGAGAAGAAGGTCATGGAGGTTGCTAAAATGGTATGGATTGTCATGATGTGGCCACCACCATCTTCACCGTCCATAAAGAAGAACTGGAAGATTTATGAGTCAAGAATCGGCGAATGAGGAAATCACATGAGTAGAAACAAGCTCTTTGAAATCCTGTAGGAATTCTTAATCCTCTTATTTGTTAGCTAATTATCCTCCTAATGTAATCTCAATTTGGGTGCATTTTCAATTCAATTGAATACTTGTTTGATCATTGGGTTCCATCTTATGTAATCTACATTTGAAATTTAGATTTTGAGGCAAATAATGTTAATATTGACCATGATATACCCAGTTGGTGTGTTTTAAAATAAGGGTTGAGATGGGGTATCAATGGTCGTAGGTTGAGCTTGGATGTGGTGGGTGCTTGATATTTTTCCTTCTTCATTTTTGTTTTCTATTTTATTCGTGAATTAGTTTTTATTTTTTTATTTTTTTATCTTCATGTCTTTTTTGAAATTATTTTTATTATTATTTTATTGACCAGGTAAGCTAAAAAGTGAAACTCATTGCTTGGTACTTATTTAGAATATTTACAAAAGTTGAGATCAATTTGAAATGACAGTAAAAAGTTAGGAAATTTTAGGTACTTGATCTTGAATTTTATATACACTATTATTATTAAAATAATAGTGCATTTAAAGCAACAAAATATTATAGCAACAGCCCGTATTGAGACTTATTATATATTTTGGTGCTAGATATATATATATATATATATATATATATAATTTTTATTAGTTCAAATGAAATTATATTAAAAAACGATCAATAACATATTAGGTTAGACATTCTAAATGTAATAAAAAAATCTTACATGCTGAAACAAACACGACAACTTCATATAATTTCGAATTTAGTTTCTCTTTCACGTGATAAACCATGTTTCGGCATGTGCACAACTCCCTTGCGGCTGCCGGTTTTTTAATCAGAAATTATGTAGGGAGATCAAGTTGAGGGTGACTCTAACCTTTTGATTGATTGTCTTCATGGACCATGTTTAATTCTCTAGTAATGATATTCTTACCATGTTTTCATACCACATTTATATATCACCTTATGTGGTATTTGATGTGGACAGCCACATCATTTAAATTAATCAGAATTTAATTTAAATTAAAAACATCTAATAAACAAATAATTAAAAAAAAACTGGAATTAAATGGTGATTGTAGCATACAAGGAGTCTTCTCCTTCCTTCCCCGTTTAATCCTACTTCTTCTCCCGTTTCTTCTTCCACACCAATTCTTTGACGCCATTTTTTTTCACATTAGTGTGGACCACCCTCTCTTATACTTTTCACCAATACAAAAAATTACTTGCGTGACAGAATTTTACGCGACAAAGTAAATTCCGTCATGCAATGAGACCTTGTGCAACGATAAACAGACCTTCATCGTGCAAAGCCAACAAGAAAAACCCCGTTTTTTTTTTTTTTTTTTTTTTGCTGGAACCCTAACGCGCGACCAAGATTTTCCTGCTATATCTTTGCGCGACAAAGGGTTTGTCGCACAAAGCTTGTTCATTTTCTTGGGCAAAACATTCAACGCTTTGGAAACCGAGGAACACTTGCACGACAAAGGCTTCGTCGCGCAAGTTAGAGTCAGTTTTTAGTCAAAGTATTCAGTGCACGTGAATCAACAAAAACTGAAAGTATTTAGTGAGGTCTTTGCACAACAAAGCCTTCGTCGCACAAATGCCCTTTACTTCCTATAAATATGCGCTTCTGCTCTCCTTTTTGTTCTCCTTATTCTTCAGAATTCTGTTCGTGCTGAGATGGAGGATAAAAACAAGGATGATAACATGACCGACGAAAACCCGAATGATTTGATGCAGCATTTTCAATTCATGCATGCGATTGTTGTAGCCATGGGAAACAATTGTCCTACTGCTGAGTGGCATTCTTGGAAAGATGTGCTAGAGAATGCGAAGAAGGCGGTGATGGATGAATTATTAGTAAGTATACTGTTGATGGATCAATAATTAATTTTGTGATATTTTTTTGTTATATGTTAGAATTAATGATTTCCATATATGTGTAACAGTGTAAGTATACTCTTGATGATACGAACGAACAATTGATGAAGTTGATGGAGGATGCGTTGGAGGGAGGTTACAATAGGTGGCATTATGAAGTCCAGCGGAATGGAGGACCATCGAAATAGTAGTTTTAAATTTATGTTTTGTATGACAATATTTAAATTTAAGGTACTTTTTATAAGTTATGTATTTTTACTTAATTATGTTTTAATTCATGTTTGGTTATTTAAATAATTGAATGGAGTATAATATCAATTAATTTAAGTTATTAATTGAATGGAATATAATAATTTATTTAAGGTATTAATTGAATGGAATATAATATACTTTATTTAAGGTATTAATGATTTAGTGTATTAAGTGAATGGAATATAATTCAATTTATTTAAGGTATTAATTATTTAATGTATTAATTGAATGAAATATAATATCAATTTATTTAAGGTAGTAATTATTTTTAGAATACATATTATAAACTGAAAATTTGTTGGTAATTATAAAGTTTATGTAAACATAGATATCTATGTTTACGTAAACTTTATAATTACAATAAGTTCGTCGCTAAAACCTTTGCGTGACAAATCTATCGCTATGCAAACTCTTGCGCGACAAAGATTTCGTCGCGCAAGGGCAATCAATTATAGGTCAACGTATTTGGTTCATCTAAATCAAAGAAATAAATACCGTATTTACTGCATGTGTTTGCGCGACAAATTGTTCGTTGCGCAAAGTCCCTAACCTTCCTTTAAATATGCGTTTCTACTGTCCTAATTCTTCACAATTCGTTTCGAAAACGCTTTGCAATTCTGACGATTATAATCAATTCGTTCTTTGAGTGTTGGTACGATGGCCGACAAAGATGCACGTTCATCAATGGCAATAGATGGAGAAGGTTCTGGATAAGGTTTGCGTTGAACTTTTTGCATTTTGTGTAAAGTTTTTATTTAGCTTTAGTATTATGAAATTATTTTTTGTTGATAGACAAGAAGAAAAGAGTTGTGGTATGGGGCCGACACACATATGGGAACATTGACGGATCCATATAGGGACTCGGAAGGTCCCGGGACCCTCCGAAAGCCCGAAGAAACACTTGTGATCGACCTTTGGGACCCTCCAACAATTTGGGCAGGGGCAGCGGAAAGGC